ATCATGCTGCTCGAATGAAAATGTACTTTTGTCTTCATTTGATTAATAAACTGACGATCTAGCCTGGCTACGGGTATCCAAAAAAAAAAAAATAATAAATTTTCCTTTTTGTCTCATTTATTTATTTAAATAAGCACTGATATGAAAAATTTATACAATATGCAAAAATGGGTCATAAAAAATTTAACAGAAGAGAAACATCACATAATAAAGATACTTAAAAAAGAAGGCATGTCTTGTGTGAAAATTTCTTGAATAATTAGATTATCTGCAATGACAGTTAAAAATTGTATTGGCCAATGGAAATTAACAAACCACAAAAGCTACTTAAAAAGAAGAAATAGTAGACACAAACCAATTATTGATAAATATCTTGAGCATTGCATTATAAGAGAAATTAAGATTGATCCATCATTAAGAAAATTGTCAAAACATTTATTACTACCAAAATTTTACATAAAACTCAAACCTCTATGTCCACACATACTTTAATGAGGGCATTAAAAAGAAATAGTATAAAATCTTATGTGGCATGTAAAAAACCCATGATAAGTGAAACTAATCATTAAAAATGTTTAAAATAGGCTAGAGTACACAAGGATTGGATTAAAGAAGATTGAAAACAAGTTTTGTGGACTGATGAATCTTAAATAGGTACTGATTCAAGTGGAAAATTTTGAATTTAATGTTACAAAAATGAACTTTATGACCCAAATTGTACACAAGCTATGATTAAAAGTGGATGCAAATCAATTATGGTTTGGAGATGTATAAATAGATATGATTTGCATCATTTAATTTGCACTTCATCTAATATGAAAGGAATAGAGTATGGAAATCTTATTTTGAATATTGTTTATCCAATAATTCTATCTACTGAGGAAACAATCTTATAAGAAGACAATGTGCCAATTTACAAGTGTAAACTTGTACAAGAAATGAAGTCTGAACTTAAAATCAAGATAATGGAGTGACCTCCACAATCACCATATCTTAGCCCTATTGAAAACACATGGAGGAAAGTCAAGATCTGAATCTATGCAAACCAAAAACCACATAACGAATCTGATCTAGAAGAGGCAGTTATTATAGCATGAAATAGTATTGCATTCGATAAAATTAAGAAATTTATAGATACTATGCCTAAACGTGTAAAAGAAGTAATTAAAAAGAAGGAGTACCCAACACATTGATAGTTTATTTTTTTAGGTATAAAAAATAAATATATGCATAGTAAGTTTTTTGAGTTATAAAAATCACCCCAATGTGGTGTCACCCGTCTGTACATCATTGATTTTTATGAGTTTCCAGCAATCAAAACAAATAACCATATGACTTTTATGGATTCTTTATCTATAATAATTGAAATTGACAAATTTACCTTTACCAAATGATGTGAATAAACATAGCCAGTGATATACACTAAATTTCCCAGTATTTAATAAATTCTGTAAAGGTACTCTAACCCGTATTGCCCATTGAACCAGTGTTTCATTCTGTTTTATGATAGATAATGTATCAAATAATCTCTCATTATCAAAAATTTGATTGAGTTCATTAGCGTAACTTAGCGTGACAAAAGGGTTATACTATATATAACAAATATTTACGTTATATGAACATCAGTGGTGGTGGATTTTCATAATCATCACTAAACTGCCTAATAAGTTGATCTACTTGTGGTTGTTCGTCTAGTTTGCACCAATTTCTTAACATCGTTAACTTCTTGCGAGCCGTCATATTGAACAATTCCTGTTCAGACATGTCGCCAACCATATCTGCCATCCTGTTTTCATAATCTGCTCCAGGAATGTGTTCGGTGAATTTCGTTTTCTTCTGAAGAGGTGTGAGTAGGTCTACACCGTAGTCGACAGTCTTTCCTATCCAACTGTGAAACCTTTTTCCTTCTTCAAGTACAAACTGTTTAATTATCGCCAAGGCAATGCCAGGATTATGAGTTCTACATGTTGCCATGTTTTGTTCATCATCCATTTTTATGAAAAAGAAAATAATCCAATGGGCATTACAATCCGTCAAGACAACCATTGAACTTATAGAGTGGAGATTATCTAATAATAATAACTCTCCTATAGCTTGACCTTCTTTGAAATCCTCCTTTGTTTTCTTAGCTTTAATCCAGACGCAAGCTGTCCCACTTGGTCCAATAGATACATCAGAACCACCCGTTAAAACGACGTTCGCTCCTTGCAAGGGTCGTTGATAGTTTGCCTGCGTATGGATATCCTTCACATGAAACCCTCTCGGTAGATCTAGCGTATTCTTAAACCATATTTCAACATTACGCATCTGCTGAGCTTCCTCCCTCTCCATATCCCATATAAAAGGTTGGCATGACACGGGACTAAGTGATTGGAAGTCTTCATCTATTAACTAAATAATTCAATAAGTGATTAATAATAAGTATTAAAGAAATCATTAAAAGAGGTTGCTTACTTCGGCGACCTTTACTCCAAGGTTATTCATGATTTCATTCATATTTGTTTCAGAAAGATTGGATACTCGGACCTGATTAGCATGCTTTTGCCGGGAGAATTCTTCCCGCACTGCACTTTTTACGATCTCGCTTAAAACTTCTGGTTATTCTTCATGTTTACGTTTCAATGTCACTTATAGTAAAAGTCAAAGTTAATATCACAAAAACATATAACTATTTTAACCTGTTAATCTTCGCCTCTTTCCAGATACATACCAGGTTCACTTACAATGACTTGTAGAGGTGTGTCATCATTATTTTCAAAACTTTTATCCACTGGAAGACCATGGCGCAAATCTTCTTTTTCACCGTGTCTTCTTAAAGTGATGTCAGCATCAATGTCACTCAATTTATTTGACAGTTCCTTCTTGATCGCTCTTATCAAATCATCCACATCTCCTCCGTCAAAAACAACTTTCGATGGTCTACTGTCGCCATGCTTGACCCAGATTTTAGAAGGGGCTGACGAGGAGCCTATGTGAAAGCCCTCGAGACCTATTTTTTTGCAAAGTTAATGAGTGACTCCTCTACAAAAAATATTTATAATAAATTTACCTACCACTAGATAGCTCCGTTCGAAGGAGAGGAGCATTTTCAAATATTTCGACACCTTTGTATTTTGCGGTTGTACCAGACGTGCCAGATGTACCAGCAACAATAGGTGAAACGTCCTCTACGGAAGATATTCTTCATTAAATATAATGAATTGTTTCTTCACAAATAATGCTCGAAAATACATGTACTTTACCTGTAACTTTTTTTTTCTGAGACTTTTTCGGTTTTGGTGGCATCGTTTTTGAAAAAATGTTACGGGGCACAACATCATGATTGACACTTATCATGTGTATTAAAGGATTGTTGCGTCATATTATCCGATATGCGTTAATTCGACTCGTGATATTCGTGATATACTTTATATTTTATAATAAAGCCCCGATATGGACAAGTTTTAAGCATCATGCCTTACAATATTACATATAAAAAAGTGCCAAACTTCGATCTCAGAATTCTACCATCACATGACCACTGCATTTTATACTTGAGTATTCTTTCTAACATGAGAACATATTCGATAAGTGCAACAAGCGATGTCATGTGAGGTTGAGCTCTTGGGGAGCGATCTCAATGTGGTAGACGTGAAGACTAACGGAAAATTCAAGACATTCAGCCAAGCATAATTCTATATAAAAAATTTTTATTTATTTCGGAGAAAAGAAGCTATCAAAGCCAATCGAGACAGTGACTTATCTAGAATTTGTTTATGCAGGCATCAAAAATAATAGTGTTACGATTTTTTTCTCCTGCAGTAATAGCGAATTTCTGGGAATTTGAGCGAAACTCAGTATCTTTGACACATGTAAAAATCGATGCAAAAATTTTCCTTACAAGATTTTGAAATCTACTCTTATATTGATATCTTGTATAGGTGGTTGCATCGTTCGTTGATTGTATTTGCAACACTATTCCAAAAATCCACCCTACTGCTGGGAATGCTATGATACTCGGTACTTTTTGTTTTTTCTCTCATTGATTAATAAGCGTAATTGATCGTCGGTCCACATCACAGACCACTCAACTAAGATACACTTATGATGTGTTATTTTTCATAGAATTATGTAAGAAAAAAATCTATCGTGTCTACGTCGCATCTTCATCGCATCTATATTGAATCTTAATCATTATTAATATGCGCGGATTGAATAACGATATTCCGATTTTGTATAGGTTTCACCGGTGTTTAAATCATAATAATAACCTTCATCATCATCGTCGGAAAATCCACAGAACTCATCATCATCTTTAGAAGCATTAGCATCCTCGCTCCGTGAGTCATCTTCGTTGTTATCGAAGGGATCTTCAAAATCGTATTCATAGTTGGAACCTCGATCATTACTCACCTCCAGTAAAGATTTATATGCAATAGCATCCTCACTGTGTGAGACTTCTCTACTTATTTTATCCCCATCAGAGGAATTGCTGGAGGCAGTCACTTCGTGGCTAAAGATTTGAGTCGTATTATTAGGTGAGGCTTCAATATCTGAGATACTCATCTCGTTTTCTGTTAATTTCAACTCCTGATCGTGAACAGTGTTCACGGTTTTTGATACCGTCATACCAACTTGTGCCGAAGTTACTTGATCTATAATATACTGGATTTCAATATTAGTAAGTCTTGAAATAGTATCGGCACTGTAAGTAACTTGTTTAACCATATGCCATCCTATTCCATTGACTTTTTCCTGGGTTATAGTATCATATTCCCATCCAAATAGCTTAAGAATTTTTCTTGCTTTACTTGTTATTTTGCGTAAATATTCATCAGAAATGCCCGTGAGGTATGGCTTCATTTCATTATAAATCTGGGTTCTTGCAGTCTTATCCTTAAGATTTTTATTTTCGGATATAAGCTTTATAAATCTATCTTCGTATTTTTCAGAATAACGACCCCAAGATAAAATTTCTTCCTGCTTAGCTTTGATAGATTTTTTTCTTGCTTTACTAGCCTGATATAACAAATGAGCAAGCTCAGCAGGTGCAGAATTTGGAGGTTTATTATCAATGATTTCAATATTTTCTCCTTCTATAGAGTTTGCTGAAAATCCTTGTAACAAACCTTGTACAACTTCACTTGGCACATAATATTTATTGTATTATGAAATATGCAATAACTTACAATGCGAAATGGATGAAATTTTAGGCATATATGCTATACATTTCCCGAATATTCTCAATTAACTTAACCTCACAACTAGTTCCATTGAGTAATGTGAGATTTTTATTTGGGAAGTCCAGTTTCATTGCATTTTCCTGGAACCACGGCTGACCCAATATTAGTACAGATTCAAGTTCGGGTTCATTGGTAACGAAAACATCAGTAACTTTTACTTGCTCCCATTTACGATCTTGAGATTGGATCGAAATCTCCATTGCACAAATTATTCCCAATATATTGAACTCGCTAATGGGACTGTATATTTCCGTATCAGAGGTATTATCAATTTTCAAGCCTACTATTTTTGCTATACTCTCGCCCATAATATTACAATTAGCACCGGAATATAGTATAGTTTTAACTGGTACTTTGTTAATTTCGCAAGATAAAATTCTCATAGTGACGCTTTATTATAACAATATATTTAATTCTGCATTTTTAAATTCGTATTAATAAATAATAATTCGCATTTACAATGACTGAAGCTAATAGCAAGTCTGTGATAAACGAAGCAATTGTTAAAGATAATATCAGCAGAGCTGACATGGCTAATGCTATCTTGTCTCAAGAATTACGTGAATGTATCGAAACAGTAACCAAGCCCTTAACAAAGCATCAGAATACTATTGGAGTAATATCCAGTATTCGTAGGCAAGTATTGGATAAAAAAATCCGGATTTCTCTTCACCAATTACTGGAGATAGTAAAACCCGAGGTTCAGCAAGATATAAACTCGATGGCAAACCCCGATATTTCTCGAAAAAATCGTACACCATGCAAGGCTAAAAGAAAGTGCAAAGCTAGAAAAAAACTAATTTTTAATGATACTGCGTCTGAGTCCTCATCTTCATCTGAATCTGGTTCCGATTCTGAATCGTCCAATGATGACGAAGATTTTACTGTGGGTGTAGGGAAAGTGAAAAAGCATGATTAGTTATCATCATCAGAAATTTTTCCGTATAGGTCAATGATATCCGATACTTTATCATATCCTTGTTCAATCATAGGTGCTGGAGTATTCAGTCTGTTATTCATTATACCGTAATGATCTGATGCTTCTCGATTTATTTTCTGCCTTAATGCTAATTTACGAAGCCTGTTACATTTAGAGGAATTCTTACCTTCGTGGATTATAATAGCATGTTCGGAACCTATTTTTCTTAAATACGATGAACTAATGTCATAGGGAATTAAAAAGTTATTAATCGGATGGACGTTCACATTACCATCTTCATCCTTTACTAGAAATGGAAATCTCTTCGGAATCGACTTTTGAATCCAAGTAAGTAACTCAATAGCTCGTGGTGGGTCTTTTTCCATCGATACAAATGGCCTAGGCTCGTCATTTTTATTTTTGGCATAGCCAGTGCAGTACCAAGAATATTTAGGATCATACCATTCAGAATTATTTGAATTATACTGCTCTATATGAAGATTTCTCACATCTGCTGGCCTCATACATAGCATTACCATTATATCGATTAAATTTTGCATTGTGGGGCGGTTAGCTGTATCACATTTTTGAAGACACCTCTGTACTTTTCCTAGAATAAAGAATTCAGGACAATCAAATCCCTCATCTTCACGAAGCCCTTGTCTTCTCCCTTGTTCTTTATTTGATGCATGAGTAATGGCTGAGACATATGTAGCTTCTAATGTAAGGTATTTGACATTGAGTTGGAGTAATTTTTTTCGAAGCAATTTAAGAAGTGAAGATTGGGCTATGTCAGTAGGGCCTGTTTTTGCCAAATTATAGCTAATTCATTTATTTCTTCGACTTCAAGATTATCTTCATTCTCTTTAATATACAAAGCAAGTTTTTTAACTGGATCTCTACCCATAACGCGTCTTCCAGAAGTTTGGATAGGAATTAAAGCATATGTTTGATCATTATTAAATCCTAATTTCTGGAATCGATTTCGTGCATGATCACGAGCCTTTGCATCTTTCAAAATTTTAACCAATCCTTCAACATACAGTAATTACCTAGTTCGGCTATGCTCATTTTGGGGGTTAAATTATAATCTTATATATATCTTGTTGCAATTCTTGACATGATGTTAATGGATAGATTTGTGGACTATAACTATGGAAAATACTTTTTCAAATCAAAATTAATTATCTCGATCAGAATCTCTAATATTTACCTAAAAAATTGAATAATCGTGATTATTATAATTCTATCGGAAAATGGACGCGAATAAGACACGAGATCGATCAGGCACAAAGTGCTATTTCTCTTAAAATAAAGTCTTGGAATCCGTAGCCCCTTTTTTCCTCTTTGTCTCTCAGAAAAAGATATATATATTATCAGTACAATATATGCTATCTACCTTTTTCTGGCTACAAGCAGTTACTGCGAAAGGGTGGAAGGTCATGGAAAAATAATCAATATACACGTGTGCCAGGTATATGATTATACTTCGTGAATAGAATCAGGTAAGTCAGATATATAATTCTTAAACATGGTAATTTGTGCACATAACTCATCCTGCTTTTTTCTGTGATAATTCTCTTTACTTTTATATTTGCCTACATGTTTATAGCATGCATTGTATTTAGACCTATTTGGCTCACCACAATCTCTACAAGGAGTAGGTATTGGAGAATTACGATGAATATAACATCTTTCTGAGTTACTACGTCAACCACAGATTTTTCCAGTTCTATGAATATATGAGCAATGGTATAATGCCATCGTGATTCGGAATAATTAATTTTATTTTAAAGATTTATCTATCAATTATTATAATTTCAAAAACATATACTTTTTGTCAGATCAAACAACGCATATATACAAATAACACATATACAAATCAATAAATGAGTTTGTCTAGTGAAGCAAAAAAACGGCTTCGTGAATCATTATTGCCAAGAAATGACTCTTCGAGCCTACAACAACAGTGCTTAAATCAAAAGTTAACTGAATGTAATAAAGCAAAACGGCTTTTTATGGGTTTAACAGATCTTGATTATAAACCCAGCCATAAAGAACATATATTTTATAAATACTGGCTTGCATCCAATGACCATACTGATAAAAATAGGGTCAAAGACCCATTACACAGTAATAATATAGTGCTTTTAGATGCATATCGGATTTATTCTCAACATATAATTCGGACGGTAGGAAAAGGTTATACAGTGATCGATCATCCTTCCGAAGTTTATAGAATACCAAATACACATGAATGTATTGATGGAAATCAGCTTCTTGGCTTAATAATCGATATTGATGCAAGGCAAAAACCTGATCCGATAAATTCTGAGCTCCCTACTTTAGATAGTGAACAAATTACACGAGAAGATTTGTTATCTAGAATTTTGGTCGCTTGTACAAATGCATTAAGCCAAATACCAGATTATATGCCTTTATTAAATTCTTTTGCTTTAGCAAGCTCGTCAAATGCTGAGAAATGTAGTTGGCATATTATTTATCCTCGGGCTCAATTCATAGATTATAAAAAACTTAAAGGTTTTACAGGAAAAGTTATAGAATTAGTTCGAGAACCTTATTCCAAATTCATTGATGTTGGCCTTCCCAAAACACGTTTTAGCCTTCGGCTCCTTGGATCAGCAAAAGAAGAATGCATCAAAAGACCTGCTATTTCTTCTATCAAAAATGGATTTCAAAAGTTAGATGATTATCTGGTTTAGCCTAGAGAGAATTATTCTGTGATCTGGCCACAAACCTTTTCTTCCAAGGAGTCAATAAAAGAATTTCAACCTATTGACAATGAAAATGCTTTGAGTAGAGGAGCCAATCTAGTTATTGCAAAATATGTGTGGCTTTAGATTGGAAAAATCGAGAAAGGATTCATCAACTTTGAAGCATAATCATAAAAAATTGTCCTATATGTGACATTAAACATAAAAAAAATAAACTTTATAGATTTATTCAAAAAAATATGCATTTTATACTTAAGTATTATTGGCAAAAACAATACAAACCAGATCACAAGGGTCTTAGTTTTGATAAGGTATTTGACAAAGTTGAGTTGAAAGAAAAGTCCAAGAAGTGGAGATTATGTGAAAGATTACCCAAGGCTCTATCAACTTCATATTGATTTCTGAATTACCTGGAGAAAGTATTAATATAAAAGAAATGAAGGATGCTATAGATACTTTTTCAGACTTTTTAAGTAAAGAGCCTAGCACCACTCTTATTTGTTCTATTGTAGATACTGGAAAAATAAAAACATTAAGAAAAATTTTGATATCTTTAACTCAAAATAGTATCAATTTACCTTGTACTATCTGGGTATTATATCACAAAACTCTTAGCAATAAATCTGAAGCTAAATTTAAAGAATTGGAAAAATTCAATTTTAAAGTAGGGCAATATCAGAATATTGTGACTGACCTAAAGACACATGAGTGGAATCTTATTATTATACAAGTTGAAAGTATTTTTCATCTTGATTTTCAAGAAGTCATTCCTATAAATAAAGTGAATACCACTATACATCAAATGGCTAGTAGAGTTTATGCTCGAGAATCTTTCAATACTATATATGATTTGTTAAATGTAACTACTCATGTTATTGCTATAGACGCTTTTGCAAAGATTCAATTTTAGCTTTCTTAAAATTATATCAAGGTGAGAATGTTCAAGTTATTAATAACAAATATCAATTATGTAAAGAAGAGATTGTTAAATTTCTTTACAATCTAGATAAAAGTTCAAAAGCTATATGCAGAGATTTTAGAATGCTTCAAGAAGGTAAGCATGTTGCATTTATAATAATCTCATGTAAAAAGGCTCGAGCCTTAGCTAATCAAGCATCTAAATTGCAAAAATCAGATAGCTTATTTATTTTATCATGAGTTTATTTTAGTAAAATGAATAAAAAACAACTTCAAGAAGATTTTAATAATATTGATATCACCTGAAATGCTCTTGACTATATAATTTATATAAGTACTGTAGAAGCTGATATCTTCTTTGAAATACTTGATTATTTTAATGCAGTTATAGGAATTATGAATATTGCTACTCCCATCCATATTGAAGTATTGCTCAAATGTTGTTCAGAATTTGTGACTGCTTATTACATATGGTTTTATTTATCATAGCAAAAAATTTGATATTTTCAAAAAACCATGTCAGGAACTCATTCGGATTGAACTTTTAGCATTAACACCTGGAGATTTACCAATAATCATAAAAGGTCAGCATACATGAATAAAATTGCTAACAGTTATATATTTAATTTATCTTCAGCAATAGAAACCTATATCGAAGTTGAATATTAAAGACACTTATCAGTCAAATATTTTCCCAGGATTCTTTGCAGTCTCATTGCTAGTACTGAAACAACACTTGAATTAATTTTAGTGAAAGATACTGAAAAAGTCAACAGGAATAGAATTTCTCATACAATTAAAAATACTGAAAAAAAATTAAAGATGCAGATAAAGAATCAATAACAAATGCTTCAAATATTAGTCCCAATAAAGTTGAAATTCTTAAACAAAATTTTATATGCTCTTTTGCTAATAATATAATGTAGCTTTACAATATCATTATTTATGAAGAATATATGCTTCAAGTAATATTGATAATAAGGATAACATTCGAGACTGGGATATAAATATTAATGATTAAGTTAAGCTTTGTAATATAGATTTCATCAAAAGATATAATAATTCTAAACCTTTACAGTATTTTAGGAGATTGGCATATTTTAGAAGGCAAGGTTTAATATAAAAATTCTATAAAAAATCTAAAAATCAAAGAAGAAATGCAATGGGAAGATTTATTTAAATCTATAGATCTGTCCTCGATTGATTTACATAAATTTTATTTAGCAAAGCAGTGGAAAGCAGTATATAATCTTGTCCAATCAATAGGTTTTAAAGATATAGATGATATAAATATTCTTTCTGGTAATGATGTAGCTATAACTTTTGAGCAATCACAAGAAAAAATCGTTAAAATTTGAGAAAATGCATTATTACTCTTTGGCTTTAAATTAGAGCTAAAGGAATATCAGATATTAATGCTACAATAAAATTCATTAATGTGATAATGAATAATTGGTGTGGTTATATTATCAAAAGTAAACAAAGACTCTCGGTATCAAAAATCAGTGAGTGTGGAAGCGTACTTATTGGATTTATTATGTACCAGATAATGGAGCTAGTTTTGAAACTATAGAAAGAATAATGACTATAAAATTAAATAATCCTAATTATCATCTTACAAATCCAATTCTTTTATCATATAAACCTGAATCAGTTGATGAAACTCAAGAACTTTTCGATTTAATATCCATTACTATCAATATCATGAGTGATAAAATTTGTAAAGAGAGTTTTTGCAATAATATAGCTGAATAATTTGAAACTCAAAATCAATCGAATATTTTTGAACAATTTTCAAGCATTACTGAAACTAAGATTGAAATACCTGAATCTTTAGGTTCTCTATCTTTAGAATTTTTCATTAAAAATAAATTTGATGTAAATATTCTTATCTTTTATTTACATAAAAAATTTAATATGTTACAAAAAAGTTAGAAAAATAAAAAATAATATTTTCTTTGAAATGTGAGATAATTATAATTACTGAAAAAAAGAATATGAGAGTATAATTGAGGTTGACTTCTTAGAATATAAATGAAATTTGAGACTAAAATGGGCATATCTACTACTCTACACAAAAAAGAACTAAAAAATAAATATTTAGTAATTACTAAATATATATAGGTGTTATAAATCTTTCAATAAAGCAGATATCAAATAATATTATTTAGTTAAGTAGTAATTTCTGAAAGAGAGAAATTACTACATTCAACTAATTATTCATCTTAGGTAAAAAGTTTTTGTGCCTCTTACAAATAAGTGCAGAAAAAATTCAAATAAAAAATTAATACTTTGATATCTAGATTATATAAAAAGGATTTTTATATCACATGATTTTGATTAAGATAAATTTCAGATAAATATGTCTTATATATAAGGTATATATTTGATAATCATTTTTGTGTTGCCTAATTTAGG